CGGGAGACCCTGCATCCCTGCAGAAGGGATCCCTGCTCGCCTGGCGGGATGGCATGATCTGCGGGAGATTTCTTAATTGCATCTCTTCATGCACTAGAGCCCGTTCTCTCTTTCTGTGAGCGGAGCTGCGGTTACCCGCACATTATAAATCTGTGTCGCGAGGAAGATGTAGGTTGTATATAGGTCATAGAGAATATAATTGTGTAACTGCATTAACGCGTTCCTAAGCTAAGGTGCTGAAATATGGTTTAGCTGCAGAAAATAGGGCTGTGGGCTTTAAATAGCCTTACTTGGGCATCTCTTGGACAGAGCTGGTGATGCCATGAGCAGATCACTGTGCCTCCTCCAGGAGAACAGAAAGTCCCTTTGCAGAAGACATTATCTACGTATGTTTAATGAGATTTTTTTAAAGCTTTAAAATTTCATTCCAGTATGCTGAGGGCTGCTTAAGGAGTCCAGAAAAAAGCATGATGAACCCACCGGGGAATGTGGGAGCTATCCTCCGAGAAGCGGGATGCAGAGCACGGCAGCGAGCACTGGGGTGCCCCGGCAAGGGGGGAGCCGGGAGCTATCCTCCGAGAAGCGGGATGCAGAGCACGGCAGCGAGCACTGGGGTGCCCGTGCAAGGGGGGAGCCGCAGCCGGGGCCCCGGAGCCCCACAGCTCTTACATCCGAGCAGGCATTCACAGGCTGGGGCCCACGGGAGTCTGTGTCAGACCTGGGATCTGCCCCCACATCCACCGGAGAAGCCCTGCTCCGTCCCCTCCTGCTGCACGCTTCCTCGCTGCGCTCCGGGAGAGCGGAACCAGGCGGAACGCCTGCCCTGCCCAGCACCCAGCGTATGCTGTGATAGCCTGGCGGGAAAACAGCAAAAAGTTTTGTACCTTATTTAGCAGCATAAGGCTGACCCTGGTGCGGGGCATTCCCGGAACATACCGAAAAGCCAGGATTAAGTGCACTGCTTGAACTCTGGTTGTTATGACAAGCACATCTGCAGGGGTGAGATGCTGCCAGACCAAAGCCTTATCACCGGTCCAGCTCTGCAATGTAGTTCTGTCTGCAGAGACTTGCCTGCTGTCGCTTTTATACCCTTTTGCCCTTGTTGTTATTCTCCCTGTTTTGTTTTTTCTACTTTCAGAAGATCCCTCTGGCTCCTCTCTCCAGGGATTTGGACCTTGTCAGCAGTGCCAAGCAGGTCGGGGAGCCTTCCTCAGAGCCCAGCCAGAACCACCGCTGGTCCTGCACGACAGCGTTTTTCCCTTAAATAACAATATCTCTTTAAGTTTTCCAAGTTCTTAAATCTCTCTCTTTGGTTTCTTGTGTTTTGGATACATAATTGGATAATTTCCAGGGTGGAGAGCTGCTCACTAATTGTATATACATGAATCACAACATCTTACATGCACTTGCCTTGGATGGAGCTCCCGTATCCCAGGGGCCAGTTCACACTTCCAGAGCCTGTTTACTTCCTTCGGTGTCATAACTGTAATTTGAAATTTTACGCTATTTTGCATGAACAGATTTCAAAACACTTTCTGCCACTCCTATAAACAGAGGAAAATTCCCACCTGCCTTCCCTTTCTCTGTCTTGTCTCCTGCAAGTCCATTTTTGTTTCTGCGTTCATGTGGCAACTTGTCTGGTGGGCCCAAAGCCCTGTTTCCTTTAGAGCAGGGAGAAAAACAACAAAAATACATGAACTTGCAGGAGAAAAGACAGAGAAAGGAGGGAAGACACCTCCCGAGGCAGGAAGAGCTGTCCATGCAAACAACGGCGTGTCCGTGGTGGGAGTCTCAGGATTCCCAGGATATCCTGGGTCCCGGGATATGATGCCTCAACACTGTAGGTCCCGCACAGAAGCTCCGGCACCGGGGCTTCAGAGGCAGCAGGCCCGACGGCAGGATCTGTTCATGCAAAAGTGTGCAAAACAGCCATGACCGTGGCAGCTCTCCAGCGCCCGTGCGCTCGGGTTGCTCAGACACCATCCAGAAAGGAAAGCTTGCTTACAGGGACAGACAGGGAGCTGCGGGCCGGTGGCTTCCAGGGCGGGAGCTGGTGGTGTCCTGCAAGCAAAGGGTGTGCTCAGAGCTCCTGGTCCCTGCAGTGCCTCCGCCAGAGCCTCTTCTGGTGGGTGAGAGCTTGGGCAGCTTCTCAGCTGTCCTAAGCAATGTCAAGGATCTCATCAAAGGGTTGAGATGATGGTGTCACTCCAGCTGCTCTCCCATCCCATGGCAGGTGGAGAGCTGCTGGGGGCTTCTCTGCCATCGCCTCCTCTCCCTAGGGCCAGCCGAGCCTTGTCTCTGAGGCAGCGCTGCCACGTCCCCAGCCCCTGCTGCGTCCCCAGCCCCTGACGCGCTGCACCCTCCCGTGCTGTGCCCGCACCTCGGGCGCCTGCCTTGCAGCTGCCTCATCGCCCAGAAATGTGGGGGAGGCTTCATTCTTGCATGAAGGGTTCAGAGCGTGTCTGTGCCCCCACCTTTGCCCTGGTTTCCCCCCAGCTCTCCTCCTTCCTGTCCTCCCACCCCTGCTCCAGCTTCCTGCCCTTTGATGGGCCTCCCCTCCTCTGCTCCGGGGTACGAACTGCTTACCAGGTGGAGATGACATCGCCCCACCCCACAATTAGGTGCAATTATAAGGTTATGGTTCTCCCCGAACCCTTGCTCTGGTGTGCACTGATGGTGGACGGGCTCACGAGTGGAGCCCTGCTCTGGGCTAAGGACAGGCGGGACATGGAGCAGAGCCCTGGTCTGTGCAGGCGAGCAGTGCTGGTGGGTGTTGGAGATGGGATGACAGGAGGGTCCTGGTGGGGATGGGATGGCCACTGAAAGCGTCCTGGCTGGGTGGCCCTGAGCCTGCTCCATTCCAGCATGGGAGCAGCAGATACCTGGGTGCTTCCCGCCGTGCTCAGGCAGAGCCCAGAATTGTGCCCCTGGGGAAGGCGCAGCCAGCGCTCGCATGGAGACAGGTCCCAGCAGCTGGCAGCGAGCTCGGCTGTCAGCTCTCATCGTCTGTGCTTCAAGACATGCGGTGCCTCGGCACCTGTGGGCTGCCCCTTGGCTGGCAGCAGCCACGGAGGAGTGGGGCTCCACGCTCTGCAGCCCCCGGGCT